GGGAGAACGGACTCGCTGGGCATGAGCACCCGGCGTCCTCGGCCTGCGGGCTGCCGGGTCGGGGCTCTCCCGCCTTGGAGTGGTTGTCATTGCGGCTTAGGACCGGGTGTTCTTTGGCGTTGTGAAACGCTGCGTCAGGTTCGTTCTCACGGCACCGGCGAGAGCACGCGGAGACCCAAAGTTAGTGGGTACCGCGACATCAGACAGGTACTGCCTGAGAGCTCTGTGTGAATAAAGGAAATGTTAGAGATCCGAAATACATGGATCTGAGAAGCATGCGATGCCACAGGTAAGGCTACTGATGATGAAGAATGGTTTGTAATAGTCACATGGATGAGGAGGCAGCAGGGAAACAGCAAATTAATATGGAATTAAGTGACAATCAGGCTGATGAGCTTCCTTTAAAAAATGGCTTTACCTTTTGATAACAACTGCAGAAGATAGAGTGCCAGCTGAATTTTTTGTTAGCACAAAGTTTGGAAGATCTGCCAACAAAATAGTTCAGAATATACACCCCAAGTAGATGACCTTCATAGTTATTTAATTAGAAATAACACTAACAATAAATGCACTATCTATATAACTAGGACCATGGATCTGCCTTGCTCAGAGCTTGTCTGACAATGCAGATGCTAAGGGAAGGGAGGTAAGACAAGACATGAATGCATGTAGATGTACAACAGTACAAAAGACATTATTATGGATATATAGATTAGCAATTGTGGGGAGTTTTTTTCTGTAAAATTCAGTTTAACGTTTCTTTCAATCACACAGTGATCATAGTGCTGCTGTACAAATAACTTAGTCTCATGAGATGCCTGCTGGGAAGACGTAGTTCAAACTCTCAGTACAGAAGAGGGCTGACAGGAGCAGCTAAGGGGAAGCATGACATACTTTCACCACTGAAATGAAGGCTGGTGTTAGTGTTTATGCTGGGAGGGAAGTATCAGAAAGGGCAAATAATTTTCTCTAAACAACGTTTCGGCACAAGGGCAAGTGGGAGTTAAGAGATAACAGTTGTATTCTTATTTGAAGTCTAAGGTAAATGTCCTTGTAATTGAAAAAAAAGGGGGGAAGCATGTAAAAGACAAACTATACATGTTAATCCTAGAAAAAAGTACTTTTGGATGCAATTTTGTCTAGTTTATGGAAACGTTCACATTTGTTTTCCTGCCTTTTGCAATTATAGTCTTCATTAAAGAGCACCTGGGATCACACTATTTATTTGCTCCTTCCTTAGGAAATAATTTTTGAAATAATTACTGTATTACATCACTGGAAAAAGAAAAAATTCAAAACAAGTTACTTCACGCATTGTAATACACCCTGGCCATCTGAACGTGTCTCCTGCTCTCCCTGTGCTCAGTCCCACTGTAATAATCTCATTTCTCCACTGTCCCAGATAACCTTCCCTATTTCCACAATAATGTGCTTAATTCCCATTGCCCCTGCCCTGTGGTATCCCCACATCATCTCTGCCCTTGCATCTGCAGCTTCTCCCCTACTTTTTGCATGGTCCTTCAGGATCCACAGTTGTCTTGTTGCTGACAGGTGCTGGTCCTGCAGGCAGGTGAAAAAGCAATAGCTGGGACAGTAGGTTGGTGCTCAGTGGTTGCAGATGGGCTAACCAGAAGCTGTCGAGGTGGCTGGCTGATGTCTGAACCTGCCTGGACTTTGCTGTGTTGGAACACTGATAGCTGGATAGAGAGGTGTTACCATTGCTTGAAGCCAGCACTTGTAGTGAAAGACTGAGAAAGAAAAGCAAAAAGGAGAAGACATCTGGTTGCAAGAAAATATATTTGAGGAAAATGTGTTCAAGTGAAACGCAACAAGGAATTCATTATAAATGGGGATGTGGGCTAAAGAAGTTTCTTTAAAGACAATATGGTGTTTATTTTTACAAAAGGAAATAATTATCTGTCCTACAAGATTGTGTCTTACCATGTTTATAAATGTGTCTGGCACACACTTGGCATTCTGCTTATGAGTACCTAATTTATGGGCTACTGAATAATTTAGATCCCAGATGCTTGTCACTCTAGGTTATACAAAGGGGAGATAAGAGAATCTGGACTTATTGTTAAAAGCCAGCTGCATGGGTGCAGCTGTCACCAGTACTGCCCAGAAATCAGTATCAATTGTGCAGCAGCACACAGGGAACATAATTAATTGGGTTGAGTAGGAGCCTATTCTTTAGTTTTCTGCCTTACAAAGATACCCCTTGGGACATGAGCATGGCCTGTTTGTAACATTCTGTCCAGATTGATGGGTCTACGGAAGTACTTTGAAATGTTACTCTGGGGTGCAAGAGTGCTTTTTAAAATTGGTTGAAGCCATTATATTTTCTGCTCTCTGCTTCTCCTGTCACACACCAGTATGTGCAGTAGCCCCTCACATATGAAAGCAGACATAAAAGGAAATTATAAAATAGCTCTTTGTAATAGAAAGCAGTGTCTTTCAGGGTAAGCACGATATGCATATGCTAATTGTGAGACCAACAATGTATAATACTTGATGGAAGACAGGACAGCATAGGTAATGTTAAAATCAAGCAATCCCAAACTTCCTGAGCTTTCTATGTAATTTATCTATGTCCTTGTTGGAGAACCTATGCAAAGACCACAGGCAGTAAAAGAAAACTACTGGCAATTTGAGTATGATACTGATTCTACTTAATTTTTGCCTTTTAAAGCCCTTATTGGAAGCAAAGATTGTATATTGTCCAGTGTCCTCCCTGCATGCCATGAGGATAAAACTGCAATGCTTTATCCTGCTCTTTCTTTGTTCTTAGTTTCTTAGTCTTGTTTTTTCATATCTATTTATATTTTACAAGTACTTTGATACAGCTGTTACCTCTGTCATGTCAGCAATGAGAATATGGTTATTCATAAAAATAGTAATCCATCAGGTTTGACCTTTTCCAAAAGGACTGGATGAAAGCCTAGCAAAAATGGGATGACTGAACAATTATTATCGTTATACAAACATCACCTCTGTTTTCCTAACAGATTATTTGTATTAAAAATTACTTAAGATGTAGTGAGATACGTTCTAGACAAATTATATATACAGCTTTAAAACAGCTAGAAGGGAATATCTGACAGATTCTGGTGTAGTTGTAGCACAGTAAGATTACTTGTATTTTCTGTAGAGCTACTGTATTCACTGTCTTGTACTATCCCAGCTTACAGGAAATGCCTGTTTCCCATTTCTGACCTTCTGTGTTTCTTGTCAGGGTCCATTAAGATCTTTTGAAATAATACTACATCATTTCATTATCTTTCCTTCTGTGTATAAATCTCTGATCATCAGCTTTTTCAAATAAACTCTGACACAAAAGGAATCCAGAACCCTAGGGCAATAACTATCTTCCCTTCTATTTCAGAAAGCATGAAATGCAGTATTGTTTTCTTTTAATAATACACGGGTGGTGTGTCACATAAACATTCAAATAGCTTTGCAAAGGAAAGTCACTTTTATGTGGCTATCAATCTTTAAAATTAAAATTAAATTTCATTACATCATGAACGTTTAAATTGCCACTTTCTATATTATCAAGTGGCAAAGAAATAGCAAGCTTGAGATCCTATGGCATTTTTCCATAGAGCTGGATTTCAAGTAGTACCTTATGTCACCTGAGTTCCAGGTGGAGACGGAAATTGATCACAGGACACAGCATAGAGGTGTTGATAACTGCATCAAGGCTGAGTACAACTCTGAACTTAAAATGTCCTTGCTTATACAAAGAACACATAGTTTTCACCAAGTTGAAGTATTATTCCTGAGCCTTAACTAAGCTAAATTATTTATGAAATGTTTTCGTCCTGAATTACTGTAGCAGGATTCTACTTTTAGAAGTTTGATAATGGAGTAATGCAGATCCTAAATCCTTTCATGTAGATAGTTGTCGGTCAATTAGGTCTGAGAATTCAGGATATAATTAATTTGGTGTTGCCTTTTCTTAATGTTGTCTTTTAGACGGCAGAAGAGACCCTTGTATAAATTGATTTAGTGCTTTCCAGTGCAAACACTGAATCGTGCATACTTCTGTGCATTTGGTTTTCAGTAAAAGTATTAAATTGTTCCTCCCGAAGTCTTACGAAACAAGCTCCCAGGCTTAAATTCTCATCCAGCATCTGTTTTCTGGCCTGGAGAGGCTGCAATCTAGTAATTTTGCATATGAAAACCCTTATCTCAAACATTTAATCTCTGTCCCCTCTGCCACAGAATGCTGCTGTGAGACAGCATGATAGATACAGCATAGCAGCATTAAAAAAAAAAACCAGGTTTCCCTACCTCTCCTCTCTTCTGCGCCACACATTCAAGTCTGAATTTCACCAAAATTGAAGCTGAGCAGTGCCCTTCTCACACAGCCTGTGCACAAAGGGGGGTGGCTGCCCGCATAAAGCTGCAGCCACTTCCTCTCTTTGCCACCTGCTTTCTTCAGCTGCTTTTGCTCTCATCTGCATTAAAAAATGGATTGAATTACTGTAGAACAAATAATTGCCTCTTATGAGTAACATCAGAGACGGGTGAATCATGCCTATGTGCTTTCAACTCACTGATTTAAGCTAACACACCTAAATTTTTATTTTAGTTGTCTAGGATTCAACAAAGGATCAGTTGCATAGCTAATTAGATCGGTGATTACTTAAGTAGTAGCAACACTCACTTCTGTCTAACCATAATACATTTGAATTATCCTGTGCCGAACAATATGAAGCTGAAAACAAGTCTTCCACAATAAGCCTCGTACAAACAATTTTTCTGAAATAATGTCTAAAGTAGCTCTTTTGATTGTTTGGTTTGTTTAGGTTTTGTTTGTGCTTTTGTTTTGTTTTGGTTTGGTTTGGTTTGGGTTTTTTTACGTGAATAAACTCATACCACACATTCAAGACTTTGTAATGCTAAGTTCCTAACTCATTAACAACTATATCAAAAAGCGGAGATAACCCTGTCCTGACACTTTTCTTCTCAGTCAGAGCCACCAAACTATACTGCAGAAAACCCTGCTGTGGGTTTCAGAAGTGCCCCAGGGGCACACTGGACACGTGCTGTCCCGGATGATGCACAGTGTAGGGTGGGATAAGTAGAACTAGGAAGGTTTTTAGTGCAATCTGTGGCTACCTGTCTGATACAAGAAAAAGGTTGATCCATGTCTGCCTTGAAAACTGCATGCAGGCTTCTGCCATCTGTCTTGCTGGGGGCCATTGCATAGAGTTAACTGTCTCCAGAGCACACAGCAATATTTCAATAACAATGTATTAATTGCACTTTTTGTTATTTTGGTGATGATCACTTCTAACGGGGATTTTCTGTTTGAGTATTAATATTTATCTCAGCATCTCATGCCTTACAAACTGTATGAATACAGTTCAAGGGTGGCAAGTTTAGTGTTGTATTTGTGGTAAAGCAGCCCAAAGAGAACACAGATGAGGTTGGCTCCTTAAGCACAGATAAGAGTCCCTAGCATAAAAGCGGAGGACATCTTACCCAAACTTGTAACAGGAGCTAAAATAAAAAGTCTTGACTAACATCTGTAGGTGGTCTGCACTTTGAATCAGGTATTAACCTTACTGTTTTTCGTTTCTAATAGGATCTTGGTTTTTCTTTTTGAAAGATACTTTCACTTCCCCATAACATGCAAATCTGTGCTTATTGCTCTTACCACTTTCTTGTTTTTCAGCCTTCCCATATAACAGCAGCATCATGGTCAGAAGTTTTATACTGTTCCCTGGAAGTCACCCGGATGACCCTATACCTACTGATGGTGATACTGAAAATGACTCGGAAGATGGATCAAGAGCCATCAATCAGACTGGACCATTCCTACCTGAACAACAAAAAGTGTCAGTGGAAACATTAAGATACCTTACCAGTCCCTGGCTGACGCGTTTTGTTCCTTCAGTTTACACCTTAGTGCTTGTGCTGAGTCTGCCTCTGAACGTTACAGCGATACTCGTGTTTCTGAAAAAAATGAAAATTGAAAAACCAGCTGTAGTATACATGCTGAATTTGGCCCTTGCAGATGTCCTGTTTGTAAGCGTGCTTCCTTTTAAGATTGCTTATCACTTTTCTGGAAATGACTGGGTTTTTGGACCTCAAATGTGCCGTTTCATCACTGCTGCCTTCTACTGTAACATGTACTGTTCAATAATGCTTATGACGAGCATCAGCTTTGATCGCTTCTTAGCTGTGGTGTATCCCATGCAGTCTCTTGGCTGGCGTACATTAACACGTGCCTCACTGGTTTGTTTCATCATATGGCTTGTAGCGGTAACTGGGGTTATACCTTTTCTCATCAGAGAGCAAACCATGAAAATACCCAAGTTAAATATAACTACTTGCCATGATGTGCTAACAGAATCTGAACTTCATGGCTTTTACCTCCACTTCTTCTCCATCTTCTCTTCTGTGTTTTTTGTAGTGCCATTTATAATTTCTACTGTCTGTTACGTGTGTATCATTCGATGTCTTTGTTCTTCTACCATTGTTGCAAAACAAAATAAGAAGACACGTGCCTTGCTCTTATGTGTGGCTGTTTTTTCTGTTTTTGTTATTTGCTTTGGACCAACAAATGTCCTCCTATTAATTCATTACATAAATTTTTCTTATGACAACAGCTTAGAGTATCTCTACTTCGCGTATCTACTCTGTGTTTGTATCAGCAGTATCAACTGTTGCATTGACCCCTTTATTTACTACTATGCTTCTTCTCAGTATCAGAGACAACTTTTCAGTCTCTTCAATTGTAAAAAGGCTTCCGATCCTAGCAGTAGTAACAGCAGTGGTCAGACAGCGTCTACCACTAGTAGAAGGGCTACATGTTCTACTAATGTGAATAACAGTGTCTACAGGAAATTACTAGCAAAGCATTGAGATAACTTGTCTCCCACATGCTTAATTTTTAGACAAATTAAGGAAAAAAGATATAAAAGAGACTGTATCATGTCCAAGAAATGCAAGACTTAAAACCAAGTTGTTGTTGTACTATGGATTCATTATATTAAAGCACAATTCAAATTATAACTCTGTATATGTATATATATAGTATATGTAAATAGGTTATGTAGAGGGGATAAGTAATTTCTTAATAATAGTTGTTGAGTGTTTTTCAAATAAACCCCCTTTTTTTTTTTTTCACACAATTCCTGTGTATTTTTATTCCTGTGTATTTTATGAAAACCCATTCTAGGATTTTGAACTGTATCAGATTTATTAAATTCTTACTTTTGAAACCATTGCATTTATCCACTGCTTCCTGAAGAAACTGAAAATATCTCTCCAGGCTTTTTTTTTTTTTTTCTCCTATTTGTCATTATTTCTAAAATTATCTGTAAACTTCATTTTCTTAGCAGTATTTTATATCTAGGACACTGAAACTGTTTATTTTACATGTTTATACATTCCACTTCAAAACAAACTATGATTTTAGGAATGTGAGCAACTGAATACCAGCTGTTGGTTGGTGTGATTATTTACTCTGTTTTGCTCTGTGGTTGGGTGCTTGAGAACATTTGCAAGTGAGCGGATTCTTCCTACCTTGTAGGGTGAAAAAATGAGAGGGGTGAACACAACTGTTTATTCTTATAGCTAAGAGCATCAACAAAGATCTGGAACTACTAAAAAAAAGATTTTATGCATGTTTGTAAACCAGTATCCCAGCTCTGCTGCACATACTGCTGAAGTTGGGTTTGCTGATGATCTTGGCTTGCACGCAAACGAGAGGAAAAAAAAAAAAAAGCAGTTACAGCACAAAACGTGTAGAAAAAAAAGTACTCACAAACCTAGATAGACTTCTTGATAACTAGCTATAGTACCGAAGTTGCCTTTAGAAAGTATTTCTATGTTGCCTAAATATGTTTGAAAACATAGGTTTGAGGAATGGGTCCATGCAAACCTCATGAAGTTCAACAAGACCAGCTGCAAGGTCCTGCACCTGGCATGCTTCAGGTAATAAGAGGAGCTAACCACCTCTTCGTGCTTTGAAGCACCATCACACTGCGAGCTGGGAACAAAAAGGAACAGCTTGTTTCAGGTTGAAGGGGAAGGAGTGCAAATCTGACCAAAAAGTAACCCATCAATTTAAATGCTGTTTCACCCATTTTCTCAATTTTCCTCAGTCTTTTTTTCTTCTTTTTTTTTTTTTTTTTTCCCCATCAGGGTTAAACTGATAATTTTCTGTGAAGTGAGGTAAAAAACAAGCCAAGTAACATTTGGAAGCAAGGTGTTAGGTATTAAACATGACTAAGAAAGTTTTCTAATATTTTAGATATGCCGGCTTCATGTTGTGGCAGTATTGGCAGGGGCAAGCTTTATAATCAGCCTGGTTTCTGTTTGAGAACACCTCATATAGTGGCTGTCATTGGTATAGCTTATTTCACTGGCAGAAGGTTTGCTCCATTTAGCATGGCAAGGATGTTGCAGAGATCAGTGCGTTTGCACCTGAAGTGTTTTATCAGTTAATGCCAAGCATGCATCTGCTTACTGCCTGCTCCCTGCAGCCTGACTGCAGACAAAGTGTGGTCTGCTGGCTTCTAGCTTTTTTTTTCCCTGTTTGCTTCAGTCCTAGCCAGAAATGGCTGCAAAGTGCACTCATGATGCTTTGCATCAAGCAAACTGGATCAGGCCACTGTATCTCTCTCTGCTTGATATGGGATCCACACATGGAGAGACAGTAAGAGCTGGTTAGTTGATCACCACCTATGGCTTCATACAGGAGATCTCCAAGAGCTGATGGAGGAAGAAGGTCCTGCTGTGCCAGGTGCAATATTTAAGTGAATTCCTGTGTAAAGCCTTTTATTAATAATAATTGTATTTTTAAATTATTTTATTTAAATTCTGATTACAGTTTGCTCTTGCAAGATGCTGGGCAAAATAAAAAGTTAGTGAGAGCTTTCACACATTCAAAATTAATGACACATGTAAGTGTTTTTTCGTGGCATTTTGCATTCTGCAAGTGCTATAGAGATGGTTCAGTCATAGCTAATACAGCTGGAAAAAATTAACAAATTACATGCTATATTCGAAGTCAACGCTAGAGAGCATTAAAATAACTAGGTATGGCTGTTGCAATTCAGCTTGTTAGAGAGGAGGCCATTAGGAACAAGATCTGAACATCATCCTGAACTGTGAAATACTGATTAGTCCTCTAAACAAATGTGGCTTTAGAAAGGTGAAAAAGTACTGGAATTGCACTGGAAAAGTGTGTGACATTATTTTAAACAAAGCCTGTAAAAAGGTTCACCAAAATTTTGGGGAATAATTTTTCTTATCTTTGAGCTACTGGTCTTATAATAGTGGTGCCTGCAGCACCACAAACAAGCCCATCTCCTCAAAACTGAGGCCTGACATTTTGAATAGTAGAAGCTCCAGTGCATTGCACACAGCGATGTAACTCCATCAAGGTCACAGCTGGTAAAGTCAAGATGTGACGAAAATCTGTCTTGCATAAAAATTTATTACATTGAGTCAAATTAATTTTCATTCCAAATTGAATTTCCATTCATAGCCAGGCTTTTTTCAGTGATGACCAGTGATAGGACAAGGGGCAATGGGTGCAAACTGGAGCATAGCAGGTTCCAGGTAAACATCAGAAAAAACTTCTTTCCTGTGAGAGTGACAGAGCACTGGAACAGGCTGCCCAGAGAGGTTGTGGAGTCTCCTTTACTGGAGACATTCAAAACCCACCTGGACACATTCCTGTGTGATGTGCTCTGGGTGACCCTGCTCTGGCAGTGGGGTTGGACTGGATGATCTTTTGAGGTTCCTTCCAGCACCTAAGATTCTGTGATTCCATAGTAAGCCTAGGAAAGTCCTCTTCCTTGCCTTTGTTTGATCAGTTTTCCATTTTTTGTTAGGAATTTGGGCTCTTTGGGGTTTTCTTGTGCTGCACTATTACAGACTTGAGGCAGCAATCCTTGGGAATTTTCACATACGTTTTTTCAGCCAGACGCTGAAGTGCATCTACTCAGTTAATACTCCAGCAAGTATGAAGCCTCCCTTGGACCCTGTGTACCTGCTAGAAGGAGATACAGTGGTACAGAAGCCAGGGGTGCCACTGATGGGAAATTATGCTGCAAAACACATGCTGTGGGAACAGTCTGCTTCTGCACGTAATCAGAAACAGGTGTCCAGCTCCAGTGAGTGCATGTTGTCACAGCCACCTCCTGCTATGATGTCATATTTGCCAACTCTTCCCTAAACACTGAGTCTCTTGTCCAAGACAGTATCCCACACAGTCCCCATAACCATTTACACAGCAAGGTGCCTTGGGAACCTGCTTTCAGATCACACAGATTTTACTGACAACAAGTTAGTCTTCACTCATTACAACACACTGATTGAAACCTGTTTTCTGATATGGTCACTCCTGCAATTTACCTCTTCTCTTTTCTCTTTTACAACAAATTGCCTATTTCAGTCTCATTGGTCATCAATATTTTTGCAAAGCCAAGTAGAAGATGTGTGGAATAGTAAAGTGGTAATACTTACATCTGACATGTTTTCCAGAAACCATAAAAAGCAATACATTTGCTACATTAAAAAATAATGTCAAGTAGCATAGCTGGAATAATTGCATAGCATGTATGTGTATAAAGCTTTACAGCAGCCTAAAGCACATAGTACTAAGAACTCAGTCCCAGATGGGCAAGAACAGAGAGAGGGAGGGAGAAAACTTTGCTACTCAAACTTTTACACTGCTATATCTGCCTGTTCATGTGCTAATAAATTTCCCCCTTTAGAATAATTCGAAGAATATTTTTCTTTCATGCTTTTCCTATAGGTCACATAAGTAAATAAACCTGCATATCAGGGCTGCTTGTAGTATTTCCTTCAATTTATTTTCACACTTTTTTTTGTTTACACCTTTGCTGACTCCAAGAGATAAATGCAGTTCTAGCCAGCAAATACTATAATACATCTAGTTAGTTACGTACAAAAAGTTATGTACAAAGTTAGCTTTGATGTACAAGGAAATTAAAGTATGTTGAAGATGCCTGCCATCACCCAAACACAAGCTAGGGGTGACCAAGAAAATAGTACTTCTACCACTGAAAATTGTGTTTACAGAAGCTCTGAAATTCAGCTTAGATCTCTTACTTTGTTTAAATAGCTTTTCCTATTCTTACTTGCCTATTACTCTAGTCAAAAACTTTGAAAGGAGGGACTTACTGCACTCTACTTGCTAGATGAAACTTATTTGTACATTTGCTGTGAACTATATGGGCATTTTTCATTAAATGGTTAATTTAAAATATTTCTAAGCCTATTATATCTCTGCATCAGAGATACTGAGTTTTATTACTGACAATTCTTTCAAAATTCCATTTAAAATGTTAAGACTGTTTAACAGACAGGCTTGTCTAAAGATATATTACGTTTTTAGCCCAACTGACACATTATGGGGGGGGAGGGGAGAAAAAGAAAAAAAAAAAGACAAAAAAATACAATGTTTCCTGTCTTTTAAACCATTCTGGGTAGCTTTTCCTGTTTGTATTTTCTCATCTTCATTTCTAAATTAGGATCAGTAGTACAGCAGACCCTGCACAACTACTGACATGCTGTTAAAGCAATGAAAATATTTCCTAACTTGAGAATCAGTCATGAAGAGCTGTTTTTATTTTGAGCAAAATGTTTTATCTTTGCTTGATTACAGTATCTATGTTTGTACTTTATTGAAACAAGACTACGTATTTTTCTTTCCTCACCCCCTGCTTCCGGACTAGCATATAAAAACCAAACCAAGAGCAGCATCAAGAGAAGCCACTTCTCCATTTAGTGCTATTTTTTTGCACTGGGGGTAAACTAACGTCTGTAGAAGCACTGCCCAGATATTAAGGTTACATTTCTCTTATGAATATATGGGAAAATCTACAGAGAAATTAAGGGTATATTTTCACCTTATGCATGCTTAGCCAGGTGCTCAAGGGAGAGAGGTACCTGTAGTGGCTGGATAATGATTCAGGAATGTAAATGGGATTCTAAGTTTTCTTTGATTGTCATGATTTTCAAAACAACTGAAGAAAGGCCAATCTCTTCTTGCAAAACTAGAGACATGCTTGTCAGCAGAGCAGGCAGACAATCTGCAGCTACGTTGAGAACTTTGTGTACCCAGCCCAGCATCAGCTGCACAAGCTCAGCCTGGGGACAAGCAGTTTCCAGGTCTGTGGGGACAGCTGCAATCACTCACTTACCCAACTCGCCTGAGCAGAGTCACACACCCAAACTAGCAAGAAGGGGCAGGGAGGATGAAAGGAGTGTCCATCTCTTTCAGTCCCTCCAGCTGAAGCTCTCTGCGTGCAGCTGTACAGTGTGCAAGCTCTGGGGTGTGCTGCAAGCAAAGCCTGAGCCTCATATTTCTGGGGCTCAGGAGCTTTACCAGCCTCTGGCCCCAACCACAGGGACAGCCATGCCTGAGAGTGCCTGAGTCAGGCAAACCCTGGGCTTCCTATAGCATATGCAGGGCCAAGATTTTTCTACCCCAGGAATAGGTAGGTGCCAGCCTTGCCTGTGCCACAAACCAGGTGAGTTTTACAAGACTTCTTTAAGATTGAGCCATCTCTGGCGAGATGAAGCACGACTTGGTTTAATGAGAATGCAAATTAGTTTATCCTGCCTAAAACTGTATGGTTTTGCCCATGTGAGCAGCCTTGGGTAGGCTAATTTAGGACTTTTACTTTGTCTGAGGAATAACCTCTCTTGATCACGGTGCCAGAGAAAAAACCCTAGGTGCTTCCAGCTTTCTTTCAGCAGCTCCTTTTCCTGCTTGAGGAATGTACAAACAGCCCAGGTTTACTCCTCTCCTAACAGGAACAACCTGCATCAGATCTTACAAGGGGGAAGAGGAGGAAGAAACTACATGAAGAGGGTGGAATCATGGAGGTAGGGATTAGTGATCTGGAACAGCCTCTCTGCCAGCCCAGGAGTTGCAGGCACACAGGGTTACCAAACAATCTTACTAAATGCTGATGATGTGCAAGGGACAGCCACCCTGGAGCATAAATAGGATGCAAACCCACCATAACAGCCCTGTGACTAGCACATCTATGTGTATGTATATATATGCATGTGTATGTATTAGTCACCTATCAGAGTTTTATTTTCACTTACTGATGTAATTGTGACAGCAGTACTATCAACCAGGAATTTCCTGTATTTCTTTCTCAAATACAGAAACCATATGGTTTATGAGCCATAACCAGAGTTGATCACTTTTTGTAACAACACTGATAAAGACATCCAGCTCACAGGCTAAACCCAGGGCTTCTCTAGCAAACAATGAGATACATTCTGCAGCACTGAGATCCATGCAACAAAAAGAAGAAATTGTAAAGGGTTATCTTCCAGTACAGTTCACTGGGGAATAAATATCACATTGAAAAATATTTGGAGCTCACTTTTATAAGCTAAGTAGGAATATCATGGATGAGGGTCCTTGCAGATGGTGACAGCTCCTGGAGCTCATCAAACAAATGCTTTGGGACAAAAGTAGGGACAAATAGCATTGCTGTTCTTTGTGTAAGACTTTGCTTAGACAGGTTTTTTTACTCTTGCTTGTTGTATCTAACAAGACTCTAGTGCTTTTGACCAGGGCAGCTTGATATCACAGTTCTAGTTTTATAACCAACTTTCAGCATATAGTAAATTTGCCTCTTATTCTGAGATCCTACAGAGTGTTGTGAGAATTTCATCTGGAAAGGTACAATTTATTAAGTTGGATGTTTACGGTGACAATTCTAATGGCCCTAAAAATGTTAACTGCACAAACATTGAAGGTATTATTTAGAGAACACCAGGGCTCCTTCTCTGCTCACAGCTCCTGTTGTTGTGTAGTCGGCATTCAGTCCACAAAAGTTTTCGAGACTTTGTTGGTGAGGCTTCTGTTGGAGTCACCACCAACACATTTTGCACATATCTTAGTTTTGGCATCAGGGGCTTGTGTGCAAGGCATAGCAGCCAATTCTAACAAGTATAACTGTTTCTTTAATTAAAGGCAAGTGGTTACACCCTGCAATTTCAATGAGATTTAGCACAACGTGGACCAGCATTGCCAAGTGTGTCAGAAATGCTCACTCTGTAATAGCTACTGCAAAATTCACTGCCAAGTAGGAGGCATGACTTCATAACCATTCAGACACTAAGCTCTTTTTCAGATTACTTCCTTCCACCTGTTATTCTTGCTGTGCTTTTTGTCACTGTATTATGACTCCACAAATAAGCAGGCCTGGAAAAAGCTGATAGTACAGCAACAGTCTCTGCCAGTTCATAAAAGAAGCTTCTTTTGATCTACATAAAGGATATAGTAATCAGTAATAGCCATGATATTGCCACCCTCTCACTAGCTTTCACTACTGCGTTCAAAGGATTTTCCCTTCTTTTCCCTCATCTGGAGTAGCACTGCAGAGCCTTCTACCTGCTGAAGATCTGCTCTGCTTTTACACATGTGCTAACATGCAGCTCTTGCAGGTTTCCTCATCGGTACTGTAACTAGGTTCTCCTCCTGCTTAAGAGCACAGACCCTGAGGGGCCTCTCCCAAAGTCAGAACTCAGCTTAGTACTCTGCACACAGCTCAAAGTCCCTCTGTAATTAGGATGAAAGGAAAAAAGCAATCCTGCTTCTGCTCATAGGAGAGGTTTAATGATTTTGCCTCTTCCCACTGAAGTTTCTGGAAGCAACCAAGATGGCTAAACTGAAGGGGACAGCCCTTAGGGCTCCTATCCAAAAGAGGAACCTCCCTTCAGCCATTACCATACACTGGTTATGGGGAGTCCTGTTCTCCCTGTTTTTGCTATACACTCAGGAGCAGAATTAAGAAGGCCTCCTGCCTTAAAATGCTGCAGGAGGATGTCCTTATTTTGTCATATAGCCAAATATTGATGAACTCATTTGTTCTAATAGTGGTGTTACCCAGAACACCTACAAACAAGTGGCTTATTCAGAATATTGTGTAATTGTAGTTGTCCTAATGAGTCAGAAAAGCTAACACTCACATATAAGGTAACACAACAAAATTAATAGCTATTAAAACCTTTTCCTCTAATAAATGCTTAGTCACCCAAGTTCTGTCTTCAGTGATTCCTGGTTCTGGAGCCCAGCTGTTTTAGAAATGTCTAATTGCCTACTAGATAAGTGCTTTCAGCAGGGTCAGGAGTTACTCAGTATTGCTGTACCCAAGAGGCAGGTTCAGCTGTTCCATTTCTGTAGTCTGCCTGTACATGGCAACAAGAAGCACAGAGGAACAAAATTAGGAGGCAGACAGAGCTCACAAAAACTATCCTGGCATCTCATGGCTATATGCTCATCTCAACCATTAGAGAGCAGAGGAACAGTAATGTTTATGTGATACTGTCACTAAACACAGGACAGAAGGAAGGCTCTTCAGAAAAGCATTTGCCTATCAGCTTGCCACAAGACAGGATCAGCTGTCCCAAATTACTCCTCATCAATGCTTGTCTGACTTCTTTCTGAAACTTCAGTAATGAAGACTCCCCAGTCTCCCTCAGCATCTGATGCTGGTCTGATTACTTAGCTTTTTTTTCCCTCCCAATTATCTTTTGTGTATTTAAAGATTTCTGCTGGCCTTCTGCTTTCTGTATTAAACAATTTTCATCTTTTCCAATTTTAACAGTTTTTTCTCTAGATCTTGCATTCTCATTCACTGGGTTTTCTGTTTTGTCCTTATCTTTCTAAAATATGAGGCTGGCACCACACTCCAGCTGAGGCTTTGTTGATGTAGAGTACATTGATGTGGATCATCTTCCAGTTTGTGCTCTTTTTGCTAAACCTAGTATGGTGCTTGGTGCTTTTTTTTTGTTTTCTGTTTGTTTTCTGTTTGTTGTTGGTGTTTTGCAACAGCATGATACAGTTGACTGATAATCAGCTTTTGTTCCTCTGCTTTCCATCCTTGAGATGATGCTAACTGGGACTTGGAAAGTCAGTGGGGGAAGAACTAATTCAATATAGACAGCCCTTTTCATAAATAGCTCTGTAGCCTAAGGAAGTTTCTTATCTGCAAGCATCAGTGTGGGAAATAAATCTGTAGTAGGATCCAGACACAAATTAGCCATCAGGTCCACAGATTTTTTTAACTCATCTGCCTTACAAGAAACAATATACACAGTGCTTTGTAGTGGCCTTTGTTTGTGTTGGTGGTGACTAGAAGAACTAAACTACATTGATCTCTCTTGACACTTTTTTACCAGCAAAACCTAATTATTTAAGTTCCCTGTCTCTCCATTCTTTCTAGTTGTTATAACAACAGTGTATAGTCATATAGGGATGAAGACATTTTTACAACTGTAACTGTCTTCTTCTTACAATACAGCTATGTCCAGTGGTCACTACACTAATCAGACTGAACACACCACAGGCTTAAAAAATAGTGGTGAGAAAAAATGGTGGGAAAACTTGTAGTGTATTTTAACTGACTAATTAAAATCTCTCAATCTCTATATTTGGATTTCACATTTCATAAGTGTTACATTAGCACCTCTAGTCATAACTGGTCACTCTAGTACAGAACATGATGAAATGAGACCCATTTAATCACCCAAAATAATTCATCACAGTTTTTATCACATTATATAACTAAATTAAGAGTACAAAGTTTTTCTGAATTATCTGAAAGTTATTGTTTCTATTTTGGGAAGCTCTTTGAGATAACAGTCTTCCAATATCCTTTTAAAGCCCTTTAAAATCTATTAATAGCTACAATGTATGCCACTTAATATATAAGCCTCATTTCCTTGGAGACCAACTCCAGTAAAAGACCAAGTGTGATACCTTCATCCCTTTGAAATTAGAGGAAAAGCTCCAGTTAGCCAGGTTCTCCATCTTTATTTCAAACATAGTTATGATGAAATGAGCATATATGGACAATAGGAAACGGTGGAAAATATTCATTACCATCTATTGGAACCTGACTTGTTACGACAAATACAGTGAGATCATAAACCATCCTGAGGAACAACAGTAACTACAAAAGATTGTTCCTTTAAATACAAGAATTCGGAAGTATAAATAAAAGAACTTCCTCTCATGTCTCTTTTAGTCATATCTGTCTGCTGAAAATCACCAGAAGATGCAAATAGGGTCATCAGGCCCAGACTAACTGGGTGAGCAGAGAGAACTCAAGTCCTTTCCTTGAGCACTATCCAGTGGGGAAGAGTTCCTGTAGGACTCTTATCCTGTGGAAGGGAAGACATGGCATAGTTTCACATGACTCACTGTACTGTAACAGGAATATTTACTCATGGGTGGGGAACAGAAAGTAGAAAGATATACACAGCAATCTATATCCCAGTTGCTTTCCACGCCCAGTGAGCTCTTGTGGCAATGGCCTGGTCTTGGCATCAGCAGACACCTGCATTGCTCCAGGCTGCCTCCTCATTTTCTTCACTTCAGGCTGGGTTTTTCCTTATAAGTGAGCTGAACGTATATTTTGATACTGTCTAGAAAACTCAAACAAAAACAGTGCACCTACTGAGTAAGCAAATGCACAATCCTTGCCCTGAAGATCTGATCATTACTACCTAAGAGGCTTTATTATGAGGATCATAATAATTACTGCTTTTTTCCTTAAGGTTTTAACACTTAGTTACATGAGCATCCAACTTTTGTTTACAATAACTAAGTCCGTACTTTCCCAGAGGAAATGAAAATCCTTTAAAAATGCAACTTTTGTCTATTCTAATAGCTTGAGCTACAGACAATAAATCCAAAGATGACGTTCATTACTTGCAAAGTCATATGAACCTTGGTGGGGACTGTCAGCACATTCTTTTTAACTCTGACTAAAGAAATCCTGTTACAAGTCTATAGCTTTCAACAGCTGCAATTTATTTTTTTTTTTACAGCTGCCTGGTATGTGGCAGTGTTTTGGGAACTAAAGAGATGCTTAAAATAAGGGAAAATAGACACGAGTTAAAAAGCCATAAACTACAAAGCTCAAATGAAAGACAAGAATTATTTTACAGCTCCACAACCAAGCATTCTTAACATAGGCTGGTCCTGCATGGGGATGTTATATTTGCCATAATGTTAGAAAGCTGGTGATGAAAGAGGGGAATTCTCCTGAGTATGAACCTGAAAATTTTGTGAAGTTTTGCTGCCTGTTAATTGTTCACTTAGTTGCTATAGGCACTAAGAATATGAAAAGCAATGCAGAAACCATCCCTTTGTGGTTTTATTTCACATTTGAAAGATTTTTGTGGTGTTGTCACATCCTGCCATGTCACAGTTAACAAGTAGGATGCCGGATGCCAGTGTACCAATGAATACTTAATACTTAAGTAAAGTGGAATAGTTTCAGTATGGGAAAATTGAAATGTCCAGGCACTACAGTATCTTTTAATTTGGAGGTAGGAGCTCTGTCTTAATATAAGAAGATAAGTGAGCTGAAATTCTCTTTACAGATTGATCCTAGATCTTCACAGTCCTTAAGGTAAAGGGTAAAAAAGAGTGATGCTATACTTACTTTTTTTTTCTCTTTTGGGAAGAAGAAGGTTGAGAGCAAGGAAGAACTTGGCTTTGCCATAGCCAGTGCTGCAAATGAGAAACAGGATTTTCTGGGTTAGACACCCAATGTCTCTTAGGCATGGGGCAGGCTGCACCCTTCCTCTCAGCAGTTTCCACCTCAGCCCTTAGGCACTGAGGGCCCCTAGCTCCCTGTCTGCAGGAATCCTACTCCAAATCACAGCTGTTTTTTCTGTTGGGTTTTTTGGCAGTCAGGATGTTTACTCTGCTGTCGGGCTCTTGCAGAACAGAGACAGCAGGACACATTGTCCCACAGCTCTACTCACACGACTCATCTTTACCTCTCTTGTTACACAAGAAAATACAGATAACTCCCAAGAAGGCCAAAGGAAGCTGGTTTTCTCTGTCAGGGACAAATCTGCCTGCAGTTCACTAAGCGACTACCAGCACTCATGCCTGAGCTTGCTGGAGCTGCCTCCCACTGCTCTGCTCAGCATGGGAGGCTGGCACGAACAAGGTTACACTCCATGCAGGAAGTTAGATACCAGATACCATGAGTTTTAGCTCTTCAGAATGGGTCTTCATGCGGAACCACCGAATTACTTTTTATAAATCTTTCAGATCTTTATACAATACTTCACTGTATTCTCCTATGACCTGTACAGAGTATGTAATTATGTATTTTAAATTTAATTTATCTCTATAAGTAGAGGTAATTTAATCATATTTCAATTACTTTTGTGTGTAGGCCATGATGACACATGCTATTGGGGGGGGGAAAGAAAGGAGATCTT